CTTTGGCGGAGTTCCCCGCCCCGACACGCCCCGCCACGCCCACGCCGTGCCAGGTCCCACGCGTCTTTGCTGCGGGGAGAGTTTTCCTTAGGACCTAGGCCCGCTCATCATGTGTTGCCCTTCCCCATGGCCGCGGGCGGCGCGCGCCGCTCTCGGCGTTGCGCTGCCTCGTCGTTTTAAAATGCCGCCTCGTTGTGCGGAGAAAGTGAATTAACCGGCGGGCGGACAGCGAGCGGCAGAGAAGGGCGCAAGAAAAGTCTTGCTGCTGCCGTTTGGTTTTTATTGTAATCATCTGGCGCGGCAGGTTGTCGTGTGCTGCGCCGCTTATTCACCCGTGAGGTGAGCGGAGATGCGGCGCGATGCATGCGGGCCAAGAGGCGCAAGGAGGGGGCGATCTGCATCTCGCAATGGATTGGCTTTGGCTTTCTGAAAGCTGCTGCCGCCGCCGCTGCCCCTGCGGTGCGTTTTCCGCGATTTGAGTGCATTAAACAAACGTCGGTGATTGCAATCAGTGTGAATTAAGCGTCCCTCTGCCGGCGTAAAGTTTGTTTTTAAAGTGGCGCGGTGTGCGAGAGAGGATAGGGGAACAGGGAGAGAAGGCGCGAGTGAGGCGAAGACCCCTCTGTCTTTCTCTATCTCACATTGGATCGTCTCCCTTCTCTCTCCAGTCTCCCCAGTCCCCATGAGTCACAGTCTCCCCCTTCGCATCGCACCTGCCGCGCTCGGCTCGGTCGCGGCGGCCCCACACTCGGTCCCCTTCAGTGCTCTCTGGAGTGGCTGGCTGCATGACCGGCGCCTCGCCTCGCCACCCATAACCACCAGATTCACACCTACCTGTGCACCAACAGCGGCACTGTACCCCGCCATGAAATGGGGGGAAAAGGAGAAGAAACATCTGGCACCGCGTGTTGACTTTGATCTTGCGCCATCGGACGTTTAGCTGCTACTGGAAAACGTATGACAGTTTTGATGCGGCTAACTTTAGTGGCTTGTGTGAAAATTTTCGTGCTCAAACCCTACTTTTTGTTTCGGACTAAGTTTGTGCGTTAAAATGCGTGATTATACGAGCAAATGAAAACACCACAAAAGTGTTCCACTCAACGCAGAAATTTGTGCAAAAAAAATGATAGCTTATTTTTGTGTACAAATGCAAGATACAAAGTAGTGTGCTGATCGTAAAGTTTATGCAGTAGAAGTTGGTGAACGGCGGGGCAAACGCTCACGTCACCCTCGCAGGGCCGCGGGCCGCCGTGCCTCCAAAAGCTGAAACAGAATCAGGTGCGAGCAGGGGGCGAGCGCAGAGCGCAGTGCGCTCTCCCACGTTTACCACCTCTATCACAGCGCGGTAGCCGCCGGTGAAGTCGTTTTCCAGGTTTCGAGTTAACTTTTATCGCCCGCTCCTCTCTTCTTTCTCACAACTCGTTGGCCGCGCGGTACTCGTCGGTACCTGTTGCTCACCTACGCATGGCAGTGTGTGCTGCTGTGGCCGCCAGGAGGACGTCTAGTTTTCGGGAGAGAGGAGAAGGGAAGGAGGCGGACACATGTAGGCTTACGTGAGAGAGAGAACCATTTGCACCTAAATGTTTTCCCTCCGTTCTCTTTCCT